TTGACTTTTTTTCAAATGTTTCGACATGATTTACTATGACGTTTTTTACATTTTTGGACATACTCATACTATGACGTTTTTTCCAATTTATCACAGAGTATACTATGACTTTTTTTTCTTCTTTCGACTCACTCTTTTCCATTTCTTTAAAACTGCTTATACTTTGATTATTTTTGCCATACAAAACTGTGAAAAAGGTAATAGTATAAAATGGCAAAAATATTTAAAAAATACATAAAAGATATCCCATATGGTCTATCCGTCTGGATTCCTGGTTTTCACCCAGGCAGCCTGGGTTCAACTCCCGGTATGGGAACAGGTTTTATATGGGAAAAATAATCAAAGTATAAGCAGTTTTAAAGAAATGGAAAAGAGTGAGTAAAAAAAAATTAAAATAAGTCATAGGATACAAGCGGCCGAGATGGGTTTTCTCCGCAGGGTGGCTGGTGTCTCCCTTAGTGATAAGGTGAGAAGTCCGGTCATCAGGGAGGGACTCGGAGTTGAGCCGCCGCTCCTCCTTCGCGTCGAAAGGAGCCAGTTGAGGTGGTTCGGGCACCTAGTTAGGATGCCACCTGGGCGCCTCCCTAGGGAGGTGTTCCAGGCACGTCCAGCTGGGAAGAGACCAAGGGGTAGACCTAGGACCAGGTGGAGGGATTATATCTCTTCGCTGGCCTGGGAGCGCCTTGGGATCCCCCAGTCAGAGCTGGTTGATGTCGCCAGGGAAAAGAAAGTTTGGGGCTCTCTGCTGGAACTGCTACCCCCGCGACCCAACCACGGATAAGCGGGAGAAGATGGATGGATGGATGGATGGATAGTATACTCTGTTATAGAATTGGAAAAAACGTCATAGTAGAGTATGTCCAAAAATGTGAAAAACGTCATAGTAAATCAGTATAAGCTGTTTTAAATAAATGGAAAGGCAAGTTTATTTATATAGCACCTTTCAACACAAGGCAATTCAAAGTGCTTTACAAAAATGAAAGACATTAAGAGCATTAAGAAACATATTATAAAATGATATCTAGAAACACTCGTTTAAAAGCAATGATATACAATTACATTTAAAAACACTCATTTAAAAGCAAAGATAATAAAAGTTACAGTGCAGTTTAAGATATGAATAAATCAATTAAAAGCAGCGACAAAAAGAAAAGTCTTCAGCCTGGATTTAAAAGTAGTCAGAGTTGCATCGGACCTGCAGGTTTCTGGGAGTTTGTTCCAGATATTTGGAGCATAATAACTGAACGCTGCTTTACCATGTTTAGTTCTGACTCTGGGGACAGAAAGCTGTCCAGTCCCTGAAGACCTGAGAGATCTGGATGGTTCATAATTTAGCAGGAGGTCAGAAATGTATTTTGGGCCTAAACCATTCAGTGCTTTATAAACCAGCAGCAGTATTTTTAAATATATTCTTTGACACACAGGAAGCCAATGTAAAGACTTCAGAACAGGAATGATGTGATCCACTTTCTTAGTGTTGGTAAGGACTCGAGCAGTGGCGTTCTGAATCAGCAGCAGCTTTCTAATAGATTTTTTTAGTGAGACCTGTGAAGACACCATTACAGTAGTCGAGTCTACTAAAGATAAACGCATGGACACGTTTTTCCAAATCCTGCTGTGACATTAGTCTTTTAATCCTAGATATGTTCTTTAGGTGATAGTAGGCTGATTTAGTAACTGTTTCAATGTGACTGTTGAAACTCAGGTCAGAGTCCATGACTATACCTAGATTTCTGACTTTATCTGTTGTTTTGAACATTGCAGACTTAAGCTCAGCGCTAACTTTTATACGTTCTGCCTTGGCTCCAAAAACCATTACCTCAGTTTTATCTTTGTTTAATTGGAGAAAGTTCTGAGACATCCAGTCATTTATTTGTTCAATGCACTTACTCAGTGTTTGAATTGGAGCATAGTCTCCTGGTGAAATGGTTATGTAAATGTGGGTGTCATCCGCATAACTTATTTTGTAGTTTTTCATTATCTGAGCCAGCATGTAGATGTTAAAGAGAAGAGGCCCCAAGATGGAGCCATGAGGTACCCCACATGTCATATTTGTCAACTCAGATGTGTATTTACCTATAGAAACAAAGTTGTTTCTGTCCTTTAAGTAGGATTCCAACCAATTTAGAACTGTTGCCGAAAGTCCCACCCAGTTTTCCAGTCGGTCTAGTAATATGTTGTGGTCAACAGTGTCAAACGCAGCACTGAGATCTAATAATACTAACACTGAAGTTCTGCCACTGTCTGTGTTTAAGTGGATGTCATTGAAGATCTTTACAAGAGCAGTCTCAGTGCTGTGGTTTGGACAAAAGCCTGAATGGAACACATCAAAACAGTTATTTAAATGCAAGAAATTACTCAACTGTTGCAAGACAACTATTTCAATGGTTGTACCTAGAAATGGGAGGTTTGACAGGCCAATGCCTGTAATTGTTCATTACTGAAGCATCTAGATTATTCTTTTTTAAGAGCGGTTTAATGACTGCCGTTTTTAGGGCCTGTGGAAAAACACCTGAGTGAAGAGATTTGTTTACTATATGAAGTAGATCGGAGGCCATGCTATGAAAAACATTTTTGAAAAATCCTGTAGGAATAATATCAAGGCAGCAGGAGGAAGATTTCAGAAGTTGAATAATGTCCTCTAGGTTTTTATCATTAATCTGATGGAATTGTGTCACGGTGTTTGAATTGATTTTAAGTGGACACAGGGACAAAACATTTGCTGTACCTGATACAGAGGCACTTGTCAGTGAAGAAGGAGGCCCTGGTGGATAGAAATTCAGAGGCTACTGACACTGGGGGGTTTGTTAGTCTGTCCACGGTAGCAAACAAGGCACGTGCGTTGTTTTTGTTTTTGGCAATGATGTCGGAGAAGAAAGACTGTCGTGCAATTTTCAATTCCAAATTATAAAAGCCAAGTCTCTCTTTATAGATTTCAAAGTGAACCTGGAGATTTGTTTTTCGGCACCTGCGTTCAGTTTTTCGACACTCTTTTTTCTGTTTTCACGCTCATGGCCTTTCTCCATGGAGATATTTTCTTGCCAGAAAGACTTTTTTTCCAATTTATTGACACAATATATTATGAATTTTCACATTTTTGGACATACTCTACTATGACTTTTTTCTACTTTTCAACTCACTCTTTTCCATTTCTTTAAAACAGCTTATACTTTGATTATTCTTCCCATATAAAACCTGTTCCCATACTGGGAGTTGAACCCGGGCCACCTGGATGAAAACCAGGAATCCTAACCGCTAGACATATGGGACATGTTTTTTGTCTTTTTTCTAAATTTGTTGACATACTATACCATGACTTTCTTTCAATTTGTTTGACACACTATACTATGACTTTTTTCACATGTTTGGACATACTGTACTATGACTTTTTTTCAATTTCTTTCACACACTATACTATGACCTTTTTTCACACACAATAAGACTTTATTTTCAAATTTTTGAGATACACTAGATCAGTGGTTCCCAACCTGGGGGGCGCGCCAGGCCTCAGATGATTTGAGGCCAAATATCATATTTAGACTTTTTATTTTTTTACATATAATTGTAACGCAATACATGATTGTCACTAAAAGCCTTGTCTCTACATTACAATACAATATGAAAAATAATTGATTAATTAATTTGAATACAAATTCAAGTTAGTATTAAAGGCATAAAAAGACAGAAATGTATTCTTTCTTTAATAGAAATGTTTCTTCTGCCCGTAAAGTGTCCAAACCAGGCTTGCCTGGATAAGTGCATTTTTAAAACATAGTCATTGTCCATGCCGGTTTCAGTTGGATTATTTATCAGATCGGTCTCCTCCATTCCATTTAATTAATCCTGAGTCCACTAACCATCAAAGTCACTCCAATAGTGCTCCTTAATTACGCTTTCATCCTCCTTTAACAAAATACTTCACATTCATCCAGTTTGTGACAGTAGTTGTAGCATTTTTGAGACTTTTAAACTTTAATTACCGCTGTTGCGACCCCCCCCCCCCCCTTGTGTGTGTGGGGGGGGGGGCGCAACTTCCAACAGGAGTCATTTGGGGGGCTCTTGGGAAAAAAGGTTGGGAACCCCTGCACTAGATTATGACGTTTTGTTTCACATGTTTGGACATACTCTACTATGACTTTTTTCTATTTTTTAACTCACTTTTCCATTTATTTGAAACAGCTTATACTTTGATTATTTTTCCCATATAGAACCTGTTCCCAACCCGGGCCGCCTGGGTGAAAAACCAGGAATCCTAACCGCTACCATATGGGACATCTTTTGCGTCTTTTTTCCAAATCTTTCCCCTTACTTTACTATGACGTTTTTCCAATTCTATAACAGAGTATACGATGACTTTTTTCAAATTGTTCAACACGCTATGACTTTTTTCTCAAACATTTCGACACACTATACTATGACTTTTTTTCACAAATAGTGCTGATGTCATTCAGGTAGTCCAATCAGGAAGCAGGCAGCCAATCGGCAAACTGGTCCAATCACCAGGAAGCACCTGCACACACACACACACACACACACACACACACACACACACACACACACACACACACACACACACACACACACACACACACACACACACACACACACATCAGAAAATGCAGACATAATGACCCAGGTTCATAACAATACTATAAAATGACTTTCATGTTGGTCAAGATACTATGCTTTTCATGATATCTACAACATACGACTTTTTTCATTATTTTAAACATACAGAGAGCCACCTTCACCAAGCCAACCAACAATACGGTTTGTACATTTTGGGTAACCGCTTCAAAAGTCAAAACATCTCTATACTACAACACTGGCAGGAAACCCTGGATTTGGTATGCAGCAGCGTTTTATAAGGAGCGCACTCATTTGAATAGCATTTTAAAAAATGTTTTACGTAAGAGCGTTGGATGCTGAGCCACGATCAATTTAACCCCTGGTTATAGATGAACATCTTCTGTTTTTAATCAAGAATATTTGGGTGATCAACAAGTCCTTCACCAAAGCTTGCAAATAGCTATGTAGTGATTTGATGAAATGAAACCAGAGCCGCCTTCTCCCCATCGCTCATACTCTTGTCAATCAACCTCCCTCTGAACAATAGCACGGTATGGCCCCAGTGGGGGATAAACAACGCAGTAATCCCGCTCCTCTCTCTCTCTACTCGGTCTCTGCGCTGTAAGCTGCACACGGGCCAGTCAGTACTTTACTAATATGATTAAGCAGTAGTGGGAGGAAACCACACATGTATGGTCCTAAACTGAGGACAGCCATCTCCAAAACCATTTTTAAGATGAGAGCTGCACCTAGTTCCTCCAAAGAATGCAAAAAGTGTCAAAGTTAATAAAGATAAACATCTACACAGGTCTACATGCTTTAAAAATAGACAAAAAACAGGCCATCTGCCTCTTAGCATAGTGGAGCAGGGAGGATTAAATCCAGATTATGGTCGTTGTGTACGTGTGTGTTAGTGTGTGTGTGTGTGTGTGTGTGTGTGTGTCTGTTGCCTGTCGTCAGTGTGTCCTTGGCTCCGTAGACAAGCAGCAGGTTAGCTAGAGAGCTACCACTGGATTTGACAGCTATAGAAAGCCAAACCGGAGGGCGCCATCAGGGGAGCAGCATCTCTTTCACCTACAAAAAAAAATATTCTCACCCTCGCAGAGTGAACACAGCAACTCAAGATGGCTTTCTTGATCAAGAGCATGATTGGGAACCCCCTGTCAGGAATTGGCCTTGGTGGTGGAGGTGACAAAGAAGAGGAGGCCGCCCCCACAGATCCAGCCAAAGCAGCAGGGATGACACGAGAAGAGTATGAAGAGTATCAAAAACAGGTGGTGGAGGAGAAGTGAGTACAACATGGACGGTGCTCCATTTTCAATTCATGCCATTGGCCCATTGAAAACAGTATGGCTGCAGAATGTCCAATCTGACCTTGACTAACTACTTTCTACTTCACTGCACTGTTTACTCTCCCCTCTTTTGCTCTAACATATTTTTTACCCGTACCCTAACTAAATGTAAACCCTCATTTATATATTTGTTTCATGAGTTTACAACAAGCTGGGTGTGTTTTTGAGAAGTGCATCTGTTGCTGAAGGTCACAGGTACCACCCTACTCGATCTTTCCTGCATGATGACCCGCTGGGGCTAATGGTCCTGCCTGGATCAATAATCTCCCATAATCTGCCCTCTATTTCTGCAGCAAGAACAACAATATGTAACACTTTGGGGAATTTCTAGATTTTGAAACATCAATTTCAATTTGAAGCATTTATAAAGGCAGTTTATTCTCTGCTTGAATCTTTTTTACTTGACAGCAGAACATATTGGATTATTCAAACCGAACACTATGATAAATGAGATTTCATTTATTTCTAATGGAATATATACATCTTTTTATAAAGTAGATTGTTATTTATACAGCAGGTAGCTTGGTTTTGCACACTGCCATGTTGCTGTGCTTTATGTACAAATAATACACATGATTTTAATGTATGAATGTACATTTAGCAACAAGTTAGTGTGAAAAATCATTTCCTCTTACAAATTGGACTTTTGTGAAAAGATGTTGCAGCAGCGAACAGATCCCGTATTACATAAGAAGATTAATCCAGCCTTCCCACTCTTAACATGTGGGTATTAAAATAGTAATTGTAAATATAAAGGTAGATTTCAAAAGATGACAACATTCTCCATTATTGTAGACTGGATTTAACGGATGTTTTCTGTATAAACTATCTAGCCAGACCAAGAGTCAAAATAAAAAATGCACAGTGTGTCAGGAACCTCACTCCACTGTTTTGTTGCATCAATTATTTTTAAATGGTGGCGTCTTGGCTTGATTTCCAATCTGCTTGACTCAGTCTGGCCTAATAATCCCATCTGTAAGTGGCTGAAGGAAAGTATGTGAGTCTGTCTTTGTCAAATCAAAATACTGAAATACATGTATTAGTATGAAATAATATCTATAACATGAATTAGGCAAATACATGAAGGTGTGCACATTACAGATTTCAGCAATAGGATATGACACTGGAAATAGCCCAATAGTGTTAAACATTTTCCATTAGGTAGTGCAACAAAGTACTATTACACCAAAGGCATCAGATTTCATCCTCATTTGCATAACCTTTGCAGAAAACAAACAATTTTAAAACATATTTGTAATGTTTACAGTATACACCTATTGCACTGATTTCTTTTTTTCATACATGGAAATGCTTACATAACTGCACATCAGGGTTAATCATTCATGCCCTCCTTGGACACCAAAAGGACATACAGTTTCTTGATGTTATCAATTTCCATATTGTGCAAACATTATCAACATATTACAGACATTATCACTCCCCCTCATCGGCAATATGATCGCACAATACCTGAACCATTATGATAGTAAGAGCCAGTGCTTTACCTTCCAGATAAAACAAGTACAAGTGCAGTGAATAAAATAAATGAAAAATAAATAAATACAAATAAATAAATAAGGAGGTGCTGCTAGAGTTCTGGTGTTGCTTGTTTAATACAATGGGGACCATTTTTATTGGAATGTATCAGTTTTCAGCTGTAGTCTTGCTGTGATTTTCTCCATTAAATAAACATTTGTTACCCTGTTTCTCCAATGGACTATGCTGGGGGGCTGCGGCTTCAGCCACAAGACCGTTATCGTTTTTTTCGCAATTAGAAGAAGAATTCTTAGTAAGAAAGCTACATTTTTGTCCATATCACTGGGCAGTATACCCAGTATATAAAGTGCTGGGTCCAAAGTAAAGGTAATGCCCAGCACCCGTTTAATCTCCTTTTGAACATCCTTCCAGAAGCCCTGAATGTTTGGACAGTCCCAAAATATATGTGTGAAGTCTCCCACCCATCCACAGCCCCTCCAGCACAAATGAGAGGTATTGCTATATTTTGAAGGGATAGATGGGGTCAACATTTATTATTTTTAATTAAACGTAATCCCAGTAAACACTATTTTAGTTAATTGTCTTTTTTCAGCTTTAATGCTTTATTGTTATTCAGGTGAACTGGAGTAATAATAAAATAATAATAATACATTACATTTATAAAGCGCTTTTCCTGGTGCTCAAAGCACTTACAAGCAATTAAAACAAAATAACAACAAAAGTAGAGTAGGTGGTGTTGAGTTGAACAGTTATATGTTGTCTATATAATTAGGCCCATGTGTATGTATGCAAACAAACAAAACAAAAGGGAATTTTTTTTTCATAAAACTCAAATTCTGAAAGATGTATTATGCTGTCTTTTAAGCACTGATGACAACACAAGGTCCTTATGTTCCACTTTGTTGGTATTTTGTTGCAGCTTTCCTCCTTTCTAAGGGATTAAACTGAAACAATTCTTGTTAACCTGGGATGTTCTTGAGGCCGGCAGCAAAGCTTATCGTAGTAAACATGTTTTCAATCTCTATTTCAGGATGGAGAGAGATGCAGATTTCTTAAACAAGAAAGCAGAGAGGGCGACACTCAGGGTGTGCCTCAGAGACAAATACAGGCTGCCAAAGGTAAAGAGTTATCATTTCTCATATTTAAAATTCAATCTGTACTCTATATTCATATTCTGAAAAGGAACACAAATGCATAATACTTTACTATTAATATAAATTATTATTATTACAAGGACCAAAGGAATGTCTAATAAGTGATTTTTAATACACTAGAGTAAAGGGCATTTTAAGTGTTTTATAAATGGCCAGTATTTTCAAGGTTTATAACTTCTCAGATGAAGACATATTTTATATGATTACGATATTTTAATATATTGTCTTTCATTATCATTTTATACAGCTGCTCAAACTTATGAAGGCACACAGGGGTTAACTTCCTTGATAAGTACATTGATAAACACTAACATCTGCTTTTTCACTAAATTATAGTGACTTAAAAACATAGGGTTATTTTTGCTGCTAATAAATGACAAATAAGAATACAAATGTAAGTGTTGCCAATAAGAAACCATCCAACATACTAAATACTTTTTTTATATATATCAAATTCTGAATTGATCATGGCTGAGGTTATAATGATCCAACAACAGCACTTTGCAGCGTGTGCGACAGGAGGTGGAAGCCGTGCCAGTATAGATTAGCGAGGAGGACGTTCAACCTGCGCTCTGGAAGACGTTAATATGTGTCCCATGTAGTACCTTGGGTCTTAGAAAGCCAAATGCCTCTGAGCAGGTGTCCCAGGCTCATTAGGGAACGCCGGCAGTGTGAGCAGCATCTATTTTAGTGGATGTAAACCGAGCAACTGCAGGATTTAAAGGACTGTTAAACAAAAATCTGTAATGGCAGGAGCACAACAGGTATGTTGGGGTTTTAATTAGGTCTTTTAGAGATTCATACAGGAGTGTTTCCTATCCTATAATTCAATCTAATTTAAAACTTACTAGTACTTAACAGTGTGTTTTTATGATATAAGAGCAAAATTGATTTCTTATACAGCTTTTCTAATACCATTATTTGTGTTTATCTGAATGCAGTGATGACCTTGGCTGCTGTAGGTTTTTCCTATATGTAATGCGACAGACTCTATTGTTCAGTCTCCTGCTTCAAACAATGGCTGCACTTATTTTCACTGTTTGTCTTTTAAATTGAAACCACACATATATGATGAGGACAATAGCATTAGTCTAAACATATAGATCTAATTATTTTCCCTCAATGGTGTTTACAGTGCATTCCAGTTTGAAAAGGAACAAATGACAAAGTGCCTTTATTAGAGGTGAAATGTGCATTTAAATGGGTTTTCAAACAATAATAAGGAACCTAAAGGGATCCTGTGCTGTTAATTATGTTTCTTTGAATGGGTAGGAGGTTTGGAATGTACATACATGCTGAGTTAGTTAGAAACAATTATAATCTAATCATATATATATTTGAATGTACAAGTGTGCGGTAGAAATAGGAAGTTGGTGCTGTATGTCTAATGGAATTAGGGTCTCGTGCAACGCTATAGTGGATATCTTTAGACTATCGCTGGGATTCAGAGGAAAGGCTAAAGCAGGTCCGAAGTAATCCCACAGATTGAGTTTAAAGTAGTCCCAGCACGCTGCCTGTTGCATGACTATTCAAGCGATTAGATTGAGTTTGTTGGAAAAGGCTTTAAATGTAGCATTTCTATGATGCAAAAGGCACATAAAGTAAAGTCAAAGGAGACTCCAGTCTGTTTAAGAAAATGTAGAAAACAGAGAGAGCAGAATATCCTGGAGAGCAGCTTCTTGAACGTGGATTAAGACCTAGATCCTAGAGCTCTTCTATTTGTGTTCGCTAGTCTGCCTAAGGTCTTACAATTTGAAAACAAACACAGACCAATCTGCAGTATTAGAAAGTTGCTATGTGTTTACATTGGAATTGAAGTTTAATAAAAGAAGGGCAGTATCATTTTTCAATTAATCAATGAATAGCTAGAAATTATGTAACAAACTGAGCTTGACACCTGCAATGTTTGTCAAAGATATTATGAATGCTTTGGATATGCAGCAGACTGACAGCAGGTTAATCCTGTAAAAAGCCTTTAAGTTGTTTACTCCTGCAAATATTAATTCAATGCCAAAAATATAGAGTCTGTTATAATCGGGGAAAACAATAGAAAATACCCTCGGTCCTGTCTGGTACTTTGAAAGTTAATATATATCATAACTTGTCATTACAATAATATTTTGGGGAAACTATTACAATTGACCTTATAGTGTTTAAGAACAAGCACCAATGATTTAAAGATAACATTTGTGAATGTTTATTAATTAATGTAGTACATCTCAATTAAATTACCCAAACGTTACCTGAAAATCTCTAAAATAGAGTATTATGACCTGTTTCCTTCCAAGATGTTACCATAAAGAAATATATCTGGATGACAAAGAGATTTCATACCAACTAAGAGCCATTATGATATCTTATAGATTGAAAACAAAGGCCTCCTCAATACACACTGATTGTACACAAGTAACATGTAATGTACACACACACACACACACACACACACACACACACACACACACACACACACACACACACACTGAATGTTAAATCTTGTCTGTGTTTCTCTCCTGGTGTGCAGAGCGAGCAGGATGACAACATGATTGAGATGGCCGGGGACGACGTGGACGTTCCCGAGGAGCTGCTGAAGATGGTGGATGAGGACGCCACGGAGGAGGAGGGCAAGGACTCCCTCATGGGCCAGTTTCAGAACTTGCAGAACATGGACATGGACCAGCTAAAGGAGAAGGCGTCAGCCACCGTCACCGAAATGAAGACAAAAGCAGAGGAGAAGTGCTCCGTCATGTGAACATGTGAGGGGGGGGGGGGGTAGTCTATGTTTGAATGATGAGGAATACGAGGAAGAGAATGACACAGGAAAATGAATTCCAACACTTTCTGGGTATCTGCAGGCTGAGCTGTATAAATACATTTGGGATTTGGTTACAACAGCAAACCAATAATTTACTTTTATTATAAGCTAAATCATCCTGCTAACATCTACTGAAGGATTTACTGTAACATTCCCTGTTAGCTTGTTTACGAATGGGTAGTCATTTACAACTTATGATTGCAATAAACTGAACATATTTGAATTGCAACCACAGTGCCCCATCTCTCCCCAATGGCTGTTTTCCTTTGATGCATTTTGTAGAAAAGTGATTTTCCAAGCCAAGTATTCCTTTTCACATTTAAAGGCCACAATACTTTTCAAAACATTGATTTCACGCCATCTAATGTTCACTTTTTCTGTTTGTTGTAAAATGAGACAGTTAAAGTCTCTGAAAGTGTGTTTTCAGTCAAATATATAACTAACCAAAACTACCCTGTGTGAGTGTTTCAACTTTCCTTTTGGTTTGTTGGTTATTTTAGATTATTTTTTTTGTATGTATGTGGTGTTTGAATTAATTATGACTTTTAGATTTTTGTTTTCTTTTGGTGTTGTCACAAAGCAGTGTTCATAAATCCCAACATGTTTTATTTATTTAACATTTCTACACATACACATTTGAACTGTAAGAAAAGGTGTTGAGCCTTAAGCATTTGCAGAAACTAACTTTAGAATACTGAATCATTTATTCCACAAAACTTAAAGCAATGTACATAAACACAGATGAAAGAATCGAGGTATACTTGTAAATGTATTGTTTAAATAAAGATGTATATTGAATACATGAAATATGTCGGCTTGTGTTGTGGTGCTAGAAAACGTATTCCAACATTTCACATACAACGTAATATGGTTTTTCATGTCTTTACTAAGCTCCAAGTGTAAGCCAATTATTATTCATTTAAAAGATCCTTAGCTTGTCAAAAGTCACTGTGTGTCTGTACAGTGATTTATGCTTGTACAACCATTAAGTATTTTAAATCAAGCAACTTCAATTAATCCCAATTACCTGAATCAGGGCTAATGCAGTGAATTAAGATAATGGTCTTAATTTAATTGGGCATTATCCAAACACTTGTGAGGAGTGATTAGGCAGAACGGGGGGGAGGAGGACTCCACGTTTAGTTTCACATGAACCCAAGTTTAAACGGCTGTGCAAGTCTGGAGATTATCATCTAATAGGATCAGCAGAGACAAGGTTTCAGTGTGTGCACCGCGCTCTCTTTCTCTCTGTTTCTGTGGATCTGAGAATAGCTCAGGACAAAATGAAGTTCTGCAGAAATTGCATTCTACTTGTTCAAGAAAAAGAGGATGAAAAAATAGTCATAGGACAGAGCCTGTCATCAAGTATGAAAAATATAAAGTCTAAATTAAACTCACTTATTCAGTCCTATTTCAGCACAAGCTAATGTTAGCTGTTGTAAGACACATTTGGAAATAAACTCATCTGTTGTTATGCAGGGAGTTATATCAGTAGTTGATATTGCTCTCATAGAGTAACAGCTAGGCAACTGTTAGCTTATAGCTTAGCACAAGACTGCAAACCCAATGAAGCAGCTCCAACTGAAGGAAACCAAAAGCACCTACCGACACTTCTAAAGCTCACTAACTAACATGTTGTGTCTGTTATAACTGATTCCTGATATTCCAATTTCAATCTGTCCAATAAAAGCAAAAAAGCAAAAAAACAATTGAAACAGTCAAACTAAAATAAACTGATTCACTGCTGCTAACGGCAAAGAAAAAGCCTGGCACAAAACCCCCTGGGAAAAAAACACACATTACCATTACATCCTATTTTTAGTATGATGATCAATGTCGCAATTGTAACGTTTAAATGAATTAGCTTCAATGTTGTGGCCCATTAAAAAACAAAATTCTGACAAGGCCATGCTAGCTGTTTCCCTCAGCCTTTCCCTTCCAGCCTTTGTGCTAAGCTAAGCTAACCAGCTGCTTGCTATAGCAGAACATTTACCAGACAATTACAAGAGTGGCCTTTCTTTTCAAAATGTTAAACTGTTACTTTAAAACTCTAAATGTTTTATTCCTTATAATAATATTGAACAAATTGTAGAATAAGCACCATGATCGGTCTCAGATTGTGGAAGTTTCACTTTCAAATTAAGTTTGACTTGAGATGAATAGCACACATAAGAAACATGCAAGACTTTTACTCTCTAACTTGGTTCCTTTTCTAATTTGTGCAAACTGAAAGTTATTATGTTGAAGCTTCTTTCAGCTTGTGTTCAAGCATCTTTCAAGGTTAACCAGCATCTGACAGACTCTGTATGATCAGCTTTTTTCACATTTAACAATAAGACTGAGTCAATTCAAACTCAAATAAACGTTTCAGGTATAGACCTCAAGAAACTATTATAAAGCTTTGAATGCGTACCTTAAATGCTGTCAAAGCTCCAGACAGCCACAAGAAAATAGAACTTCTTCAAGAACCTTTGCTATATAAACTTTTGCATCAAGTCACAACTTTTTGCTGCTAATTAGAACAGTGCATGCTTCTCCCTCTGACCCCCCTCCCATTAGCCAAACAAAGGATAAGGTCACCTTCTGTAATTAGGAGAAGCTAAATAGTTTTAAGGGTTTTAACTCTTTTGAGTAAAATAATGTAATCCCCTTAAGCAGGATTACCACACTGCTGTCAATCTTTGTTTGCTGTTAAGTGGTTATAGCCAAAACGTGTTGTCGTTTGGGCTTTGTAACCCTAATTGACTCAACACTTATGAAAAACGGGTTAGAGAATCCCCTTTTATTTTAAATATGATTTATTAATTACATTACAATGAGTCTATAAAAGTCTTGTTTAATCAACATGTGTCAGGAGGTGCATGATTTGTCCTTAAGGTCAACAAAACAAATAAACTAAATGAAATGTCTTTCTTTTTTGGCCACAATATCTTTGATTAAATATTAAGCTTTCATCTTGCAATCCATGTCCTGACCAGAAATCTTGTAATTATGATTTTGTTGTACCTTAATCTGTGCCTCCGTGGGCCTAATCTTCCTCTTTTTTTCGCAGACTGACATGAACATGACATCTGGAGGAGTGAAAAGATGGTTTTAAGATTTATGTAAGTAGGTTTAGAGCCAACACTGACTGATGCACTTAAAATGGGGAGGAGTTACGGGCAGGGTGTGCGCACTGGTGCCTGCATGGGCGCACAGTTACCCCTAAATCCGGGGCCAAATCCAACAGGACGTCCCCTTTCTGACGTGCAGGAGGGGGGTGCCACATGGGTAGGGGGTCTTACAGCCGGCACTACTTTAAAAGCCCCCTCAGAAGATGCTCCCTATCCACTGAGCAAGACGGGCTTACTGGAGTCTTGTGCGTAACTTCTCCACTCTTGGCTCTGCAATTTACAACTTTACCAAGCACAAAGAGTAGCAATATATTTGAATAGCCTAGTTGCAAATCTTTAAACAGCGTTATTCCGACTATTTTTTGGGACTTTCGACCAATGTGGCTTCTTGGATCAGCTTCCCAGGTGATGATGATGATGGATGAGCGCCTGTCTCCCTCCGCACGCTCCGTCCAGAGCCCGGGTGACAACCCGGCCACAATCCACAGCATAGACGCCATACTGGGATTTAAAGAGGACCAGCTCTTCCACAAGTCGGCCTGCTACGTCGTGACGGAGAAAGTCCTGGTGAAAGATGCTGAGCGGAATGTCATTATGTCTCCACTGAAGAAAAGTCATTCTTCAGAAAGTTTTGACAGTAAGTTTCGTGCTTTTTCTCCAGAAAAATAATAAATCAATTAAGTGTAAAGAGTGTATAATCTACAACACGTCATGTTATATATCTGTAAAAGAGAGGCTTACCGTTATAACTTTATATTCAATTTAGCCATTTCTGATGAAACGCAACCACTTGTTATTAGTTTGGAGTCAGGTCTAATTTTCATGATAGTGCGCACATTATTGAATCTTTCAGAAGATTTAAAAAAATACTAAAAAAGAAGACAAAATTAAAATCATTATATTTGAGATGTTAAATAAATGTTGCTCAGCTGTCCCGGCTGTTTCTCCCGGTGCTCACACTCTCCTCTCCCCGCAGGTGTTTGTTGTTCCGGCGGCGCCGCGGAAGCCTCGGTGTGCCCGGACTCTTCGGACGGCAAACTGTCGGATGACGATAACCCGAAGAAGAAACACCGTCGGAACCGGACTACTTTCACCACCTTCCAGCTCCACGAACTGGAGAGAGCTTTCGAAAAGTCCCATTACCCGGATGTATACAGCAGAGAAGAGCTCGCTCTGAAGGTCAACCTGCCGGAGGTCCGAGTGCAGGTAAAGTCCCAGAAACTAACTCTGCCATCGGCCTGTTTCTCACTGAGTATAGCCATATGTATTCAGCCGCCATATATTAGGAACCATGTCTCTATAAAAAAAAGTGAATAGGAATTTGTGGCAATATAGAGAAATATAGAAGAACACCAAAAAGTGTTTCCAAAAGCATGTTGGAAATGTTCGATTTAAAGTTTATATTGTGTAGATCTTATTTTACTACATCACATTTAAGATGTATAAAAAACACCAATAAAGAACCAAGTTATGACATTGGGCAATTATTTTGTTCAAAGTGATTTAATTTGTAATCTTTAACCTAATAAACCTGATAGAAATTACATTGTTTGGATCAGTGCATTTTGTACTTTTCAAGGAACAGCAAAAACTGATTTAATTTATTTTAGAAATGTATATTTAAAATGTATTCACAGAATGTTAAACTTCAATTAGCTTTCATCATGGTTTCAATAATGAACGACATTTCTCTCACTATTATATTTGTAACAATCCCTTGTTAATGATTATACAATGATATAACTTTAAATCCTAAGTGCTTAGTAACTGATTATTGTCAACCTCCAGATTTCTCATGTTCAAAGACTTTTACACAATATTCGTTTTTTTGTTCTTTTTAAAGATTTTGTTTTTAGCTCTAAAAGTTGTTTTTCTCTCCCTCTCTTCTCTTATCTGTTATAATGCCTTTGGATAAAGGAAGCTGTATACATTTGAATTGAATTGAAAATTTAAATCCTCCTCTTACTTTCAAGGTGTGGTTTCAAAACCGACGGGCCAAGTGGCGTCGCCAGGAGAAGCTGGAGGTGAGCTCCATCAAGCTGCAGGAAACCTCCTCCTCCCTGCTCTCCTTCAGCCGATCCCCCAGCAGCTCCCTGGGCTCCAGTCTGCAGCTGGACCCCTGGCTCTCCACCTCCCTCACCACCTCCACCTCCCTGCAGTCCCTCCCCGGCTTCATCACAGGCTCGCAGGGCCTCCCGGGCACTTACACCCCCTCTACTCCACCCTCAATGACCTCTTCCATGCCGGCTTCCTTCCTGGGACACAGCCATCACCTGCCCCACATGGGCTCCATGGGCTCCATGTGCCCCCCGCCCCCCGCCTACCACTGCTCTGCTGACCCCAGGAACACCAGCATTGCTTCACTGAGGATGAGGGCAAAGGAACATATTCAGTCTATTGGGAAGACGTGGTGATGAAGAGGGGAGGTATAAAATGGACCCAGAATGCATCATGCTGCATCTTTTGAGAAACGGACTCCTCATGATGACGGGATTGTTATTTTTGGAAGAGGGAAAACTGCAGGATTAGAGACTCGTCACTAATAAGGGTAACACTTTACTTCTCACTATTTAGCATTCATAAGCAGGATATAAATACTTAATAAATTATTTGTAACACACTTCGATAAAGTTGTAAGTGAATACAAGATACAACTATAATTCACGCCTACCAGTTAGCTGAGGTATTAACAGACACAATTCGGTCTTTATACTGTACATAATAAACACTTAAAATGTCCTTGTATCTATTTACAACCACATCATGATGTGTTATAAATCACTTGTTAAATGTGTGTTTTTTGCTTATGAATGCCAAGGGAGACTTAGAGGAAAATGTCACCCTTAAGAAACTCTTAGATATCAGAAAATCTGTGAAAATAACTGTGAAATTCCTGTGAAATTATGAAAACTACACTGATGATCTGGTGCTTTTTCTCTGCTTTATTTCCTCTATAAGCTGTTTTTACTTTACATTCATTCAGCCCCATCCCATTGTTATCCGTGTTACGTTGCCGATATAACAAATCCATTATAACCCATCAGTATTTATTCTTCTTTTGTAAATGGAGCACTCCTCATTTTAATTAATTTGTCCCTGCTGCTTTTTGATCTTCATCATAAAAGATTTTATAAAAATGTGAATATTTTCTCTACACAATCAACTTGATATGTACATTTCATAAACAAAATTGTGGCTGGCCTGTTTTCTTAGAGAATGTTTTACATTTAATGGGCAATTTGTCACAAATTGGCAAAATGAATAAAATGTTCAGGAGATGCAAAAGGAAATATATTGCAATACAGCATTTATATAGTTCATCTGTTGAAATCAAATGTATGTCAAAAATATTTGAGTATCATAAATCTGCTACAGAGTGGAAGTACATGAATACAGCACCCCTTAGTGGTGGATTCCTCTAACATGACTATCCTTGTTGGGAAACATTATCAATAAAACATCAATTTAACACTAAATGCAAAACTTGTTACAAGGGGAAAGTCGATTGACAGTTTTAGGAGTTTCTTTCTTTTTTTCACATTGAGATTATTTTGTTATTGTCTAAACACGATGTAATAAGGCCGATCATCAAACTACAAAAGGTATCAAGTTTAATAACATGTAATCATTTAATTTAAAGACAAAGAAGGGTGGAATAAAGAGGCAGCTTAAGCTCCCAGACTTCCTCTCTCTGATTTGCATATAGTTTTGTCAACCCACTTATTTCCACTTCATTAACTCCAGTCAAATGTATCCTATCACTCCTGGGCTCATAATGACGGGGTGAAAGTGGCTTGTACCTCTATTGTTGTCCAATCATCCACGACAAATGAGGACAGAAGAGAACACTTTAGGAAAAAAAGATATGTGTAACCAAATTCTTTCAATTAGCATTTCCTATTGTCTGCAACCCCTGTGGGCTAATAATAGTCATCATTTATCCTACTGTCCTAAATACACACTGGGGTGTGTTTGTGTTTATTCTGATGAGGAAGAGCAGCATCAAAGCTCACTGAATGGACCATAAACTGCTCTTGTCATCTGTAATTATAATCATGAAATGCTTCACCTTAAAGTGAAGTTTCTCAAAATGTGGATGCTCTTCTTTCCCATCTGGTGGCACAAACTGGTTACTGTACACAGGTGGAGTTCATATTTTAAAGGTCCCATATTATACTATATTTGAACAATATATTATAGGGCCATATCTATACAAAACAGCTCTCTGAAGTGTTTTGCTCAAAATACCAAACAGATCACCCATTGTAGCACCCATGCCTCACATCCCTCTATTTCAGCCCTGTTACTAAAGTGCTGATTCTGAGTCTGTAGTCTGTATTTAACTGAGCTGCTGCTGACCACGGCCCCTTTGGAGCGGTGAGCTCTGTGAAGAGAAGGGTGTCTACTGGCAAGTGGCGACTGGTCATTAGGGGCAGGTGGGGCCACCTAGTGTTAGCAGAAAGTATTACAAATAATGATTACAAAAAAATGCAAAGAAATGCAAAAAAAAAAATATATAAAATATATTTTAAGATCATGTTTAATCCTCTGATTCGTCTGTACATTGCTGTTTTAGTCTGTGTTCTTCTAATTAGTGTCTACAGTGTGTGCCTATTGAGCTGTTTAGAGCCATGTGGGACAAAACCCGATCATGCCCCTCCCTCTCACTGTCTAAGTGAACGGTGACTGTAAAAACTACACTGCGCATGCTCAGAGTATTTTCCTATTTAATGTGTGTGGCAAAAAAATTATGACCATAGGGGCATAGAGCTGCCATCCCCACCATACGTCATCTCACATCATTCAGAGCTGATTGGCTGTAAGTACGTGTGCCGCGAAAAGTGTAGTGTGTGAAGAGGAGACGAGAGAGGTGCAGTGATGCGTCCTAAACCCGGAAGTAAGCTGCGCATGGCTTCCCTCGACAAAAAAGCAATGAGATTTCTCCATAGGATTTTAGAAAATAGCTGGAAATAAGATCCGTGGGAAACGTACCTGTTAGATAAATGCACTTTTACAAAAAAGTAATAGAGATTTTTGTCCAGAGGGATAGGCAAATGGACTTCATCTTCAAGTCAAGGTAAGACCACCATTTTATTGAAAATGGGATCTTACTAAGAGAGAACAATCCAATATTGAAATGATAAAATTACATTTTTGGGGTATCTTTTTGTTGAACTGTCTGTTTAAAATTAATCGAAGCATCAGACTAAAATAGCGTTTGAAAATAATAGAATATTTTGATTTAGGTCAAAATAGAATATTTGTAAACCTGAAGAGTCAGTGCCAGTGCCTCACCAGCCATGAACCTCACTGCACGTCACTGCAGAAGCTTATATATAAACATCTACGTTTTTTGTGCCCCACCACTTTTGTACATATAAAAACGCCACTGCTACTTGCAGAAATTCAGCTAAATGCTGCCGTGATTGAACGCCATATTATGTTCCATACCAATCAAGCATTATTTCTGAAACAGTATGGAGCTCAAATGTTTTCTCTCTATACCACAAGTACCTTTTATATCCAGCTTATTTACACATATTCTCTAAAGTACAGCGTTAGCTATGAGTGCTGGCAATGCTTGTATATGTAATGTAAACACAGACCATATTACTTCCAATGCACGTCACGCATTTCCAATATCACTTCAAGCCCGCAGCAAATCTGGATCAGCTCCGTTGAACCCTCGTTTTTAGAAATGTGGGTGAGGAGGAAAAGTGAGAGGGTTGTATTTTCTGTCACTTTGTGAATCTCCTTACAAACCAGGGACATATATGCATGTATAAAATACATCAAAAAGTGCATTTTGCATAATAGGTAACCTTTAAGAAAGAACAGTGAAAAGACATTGCAAAGCATGAAGAGACATCCACAATGCAGTTATCACAACGTTACATTTATTCCACACTCTCAGCTCACAACCAAACTGCTGCAAGATGTGCATATTAAAATATTTTAAATTAGTGAAAACAAACATATAGTTTCCAGCGTACTCTTATAGCAGAAGAAAATATACACTTTAAATGAATATGTGACTACAGGGCACAAGTTTGTATTTTGTGATGACTTGAGGGAAGTCGTCTTGCATTCAGGTGGAACCATTGTCTCGCAGTTTCAAAGCCAGAAGAAGCAGGTTTGACATCTATGTTATAAAAATAGAAATACATCCATAAGATCTTATTTTCAAACATCGTCACATATGAAGAAAACTGATGGCCCACACACTGACCTCTCTGAGATATTTGTCTCTTTCCTCTTGTCTCCAGCCGCTGTGCAGCAGGAGCAGCCGGTCTGCAGGTTTCTGTTCCTTTTGCTGCATCAGAGCCTCCAACAGGCGCTCTGTGACCCCTGCTGCTTCTGAGGGAGAGAGGTAGACACGCTCACCCTCTGACTCCTGCAGCGGCTCGATGCTCTTCTTTCCCATCAAATGACCTGGGGAGTAGGACGCAATGTTAAACATGAACTATTCTGGAAAATATCTGATTGTCGTCCAACTGCAACATGATAATCTGTAATTCAACTGTAATTATTAGTTTTTTTTAACTCATTTTCACACCATTGCTAGCCAGGATAAAGCTAAATGTATTCAGTAGATGAACAGCTTTTTTTTCTATTTTCTCCATTCACTTCATTTATTTTGCTAACCTACACAGTAAAAAAAGAAAGATGTATCTTTCCATTACATTAAGAGGTAAACTATGAGTTACCTTAAACAGGGATGAGAAAGCATATGACTGCCTTATTATACAAAATACATTACAAAAAAAGCTCAATAATAAGATTATATTATATTATACAACATATCTAGGAGGTAGGCTACTGTTATGCTTTAAAACAAATCTGATATGAGATATTTAATTTATAAAAATAATTAAATAAATAAAAAACGAATCTAAAATTCAATATTAGTTTAAGTTTTTGTTTAAATATGAGGACATTTATCTTACCTACTGCCCAGTGGTTGCCTCGTGGATACATTTTGCCCACCGCAGCTGGAGGGCTCTCGGAGCTGTGCAGCATGCAGGGCATTGTCGCCAGAATAATGAAAAGTGGCCACATCGGTCTGCAAGTCCATGAATAACACACGCACACTCCACCCATGTTATCAGAGGAGAGGTCAGATCTAAACAGCAGCTTTCTGAATCCTTTTTCCCCCGCAGTTATTCGGTTTGATCTAACTTCAGAAAGTCTCCACCATACTCGGTATTTGCGTGAACCGATATCGCAGCGGGGGGGGGAAAGTGCTCCAGCTGCAGACTTGTTGGAGTTACACTCCCGATGCCTTTGATAGAAATGACCGAGGATGAAAGTAAATGCCCCTCCTGATACCAACTGTACGTCAGCAGCTGTTTTTAAAAGTACCACGGTGACGAGAAAGTCATGATGACAAATTAGCATCCATAGCCTGTAATTATTATTGCTCGTCATTGTTTGTCCAGTGATTGCGGGGGGTGTCAACGTCACCTCACGATGATTGACGGGACTTCTGGGTAATTGCTTCCGTTTCATTGTGTGTGGAAAATGGAAATTATTCAGATCATGTTTGTAAGAATAACTTGTAAAATAACCAGTTGTATGTAATATTAGCCAAATGTAAGCACACTTAAGCTACAGGGAGTAATGGTAGACTTCCACTATGGCCCCTCTACTTTGATTACAATGTCAGATGTTGACTTTATATTTTATATAGCCTGTTTGGCCTTTCAGTCAATATTGAATCTTCACAACGTGTTCTATTGTTGTGAATGCTAAATCTTAATGTTAAAAGTAGCAATAAACGTAAAATAAATCAAGTGAAACTATGGTTCAACATTTTAGTAGGCTATAACGTATCAAGAGAAATAAGAAAACTACACAACATTTGCATTGCATTCCTCTGGGATATCATTTAAAAGATCAAATTGACGCAGCAGAACCGTCTTTTATTCCTCTCATTGAATTTATTTGTCAAGACATGCCACCTACATTACCCACAATGCACTTGACAGGCTACATTTTAGTCTGAGATTTCAGGTGTGTTTTGCTTACATTTGCAAATGGAAGTCTGCATCATTTTAGAACACATCTGGCTATTGACATATGTAGGAACGTTTTATTAATTCAAGTGCTATATTTTTATTATTTGCTAAAAGGTCTTAGGAATGTACAAGTGAATCAAACAGTCTTGGCCGAAATCCCTAATAAAACCATTGCACCACTTGGATAGCAATTCATCTTTATGTTACATCAATAAAGCAAATGTCCGTTGCGTCCATGGTCTTACACTTGGCAGAAGCATCCATGTTGTTTTCACATTTGGACTTAAAGTGGACTCAAAGTGGACTCAAAGTGGAAAGAATGACTTGGCAGATCAGAAAGTGGGGCCAGCCAAGGGGTAAGTGACTGCACAAAATGTATTTTTCAAGTCTGAGAGAAACCACCTTGATGAAGTCATTAAGGTTAATATCTCCAACAGAAAGCTTGTGTTACAAAAGGAGCATTTATTAGGCAGTGAAGATCTAACAGGTTTGAAACATGGGTGTAGGATCCAATGTTAATTGAGCCTGACTTGTACTTTTGCCTTGTGTTTAGTTTAATCAGATCCTACCATAAAACAAAATACATTGTCTACTTTAGGACAACACATTAAAGATCCCTCCCTTGAACCCAGACATACAGTCATCATATGTTCTGCTACAACTGATGTTGTTGTTCTTGTTTAGAGGATAATCTTTTTCATTTTGACTTGAATTGTATTGGCTAAATGTGTCTCCCAACTTTATAGATCTGGAATACAAAATCCATTAATTATCTCTTTCAGCACATTGGCTAAATGTACTTAGTTCATATCCACACTGGTTATGCCAAAGTGTAAAAGTAATCTATAACATTATGTGTCCACTCGACATTTTACAAAAGAAAAATAGTACTATCACCAAATAAAATAATGAAAACTACTCGTCATGCAGAAGGTCCCCATTTCACAATGTTGTTGGATTTCTGGAGTAAGTACAATAATTGTCTCTGAAATAAAGGGGGAGTAGAAGTAATAGGCAGAATAAATTGATTAGTCAATTCAAGTACAAATAACATGCAATTACCAAATGCACTCATACATTTTTCTAAACACCACCTTATTTCCTGAGCAGAGGAAATTATGCAGAAGTTTAAAAAAAAAATACATCAACAAAGATTTTGGAGGAACACAGATCCTGAAGGGTGATGATGCATATTTTTGCTGCCTTGTGCTCAGTTACAAAAATGTGACAATGTAGCATACGCCAGCTCGTTATGCGTAGTCCACATCCTTTATCGATGCAGTTTATTACAGTGTATTTATCCCCCTGGAAAGGTCAACAGTGTGAATTAAGCTGTCCTCAAACACAGAGGAGCCCACGCATGTGCCTGCGTGAAATTCTCTTACTTGACTGATCCCTTTCATGATGGTATTGACAGACAGATTGCTGCAGGAGGAGAATAGATGCGGACAGATAAGGAGTCCACGCAGGTAAGTAACATTTTGTGTTGAAAAGGTTGGAGACTTCCTCTGGGTATTGTCTTGTCAAAACCCCCCACACACACAACCTATATGAAATATATTAAAGGGAATATTTCTGGCCAAGGATGACCTTAACAAAGCAGGATGAGTCACTTATGGTCCAAGGCAATGGAAAGATGTTGCTTTATTTTGCGTATATGAACATACAAAGAAATACATATTGAAAAATCAGGGAGTTCTAGTGATAATACTCTTACCACCTTCAATACATCTGTTATAATTACCTTTTTAATAATGCACAGACATTATTAAAAAGACTGATTTCTGGAGTTAGTTAAATATTCAACCTCCTCATGAGTTCACTAACAACCAATCATGACTCATGATTGCCAGCCCTTCATCACCTACTTTAGGCCACTGAACTAATTTCAAAAACACACAATTAAAAAAACAACAACTAAAAAACTTAAGAGTGGATAATGTTACAATTACTACACAATCCTGTTTTCCTCTAATTTAACTTCATTTGTTGAGTAGAAACAGCAGATGGCACTGTGGGGTGACTTATTGACTCAGTAAATGTAATTTTATGATGAGTCATGTACATTTCTTAAATTGTATATAACACATATAATATAACATGTTGATATAAATTTGCTCTATAAATTATAAATGTTTAATATAATTCTATGATATTATATTACACAAAATCGAAATATTCTCATGTTTCTGGGGGCTAATTTAGTACATTCTCAACAAAGTGAGGAATAAGTGATCTCATCCGTCTCTTCTAATTAATTCTTTTAAAATGTCATTTGATACAATAAGTGTTCTGATGGTGGCGTCTAACCTGTGATAATATCGGCTTCATAAAACGTGAAAATTATCCTTTTAAGAAGGGCCATTCAGCAGTGAAGTGTCAATTAAAACAGACAGATTGTCATTATGAGGTCTTTGCTGCTCGTCACAGTTATGACTAAACCCCCTGGCAGCTGTCCAATCAGAATCCTTGAAGTTAGCGCTGGATTTAAGGAGACATATTGGTTTTCTTTACTTTTGTTACACAAGAGATGGAAAGAAAATAAAAAACTAAAGGGTACATGACATCCTCAGTTAGGGCCCCATACACAGGATGCCCATGCCTGAGGATCTGAGACTTGCAGAATCAGAAAATATTCACTTTTTTATTAATTTAAAAAACACTATTTTATGCAAGCACACACTTCATTTCAGTATGCATTCTCTTTTTTCTGTTTTATACAGTTTTACATTTTTGTAGGCACCACCCTCAGCCTCCTCCCGTGTACTGCATCTGTCACACTTTCATGATATGCACATATCCAACTGCCTCGCAGTGTATAACATGCATTTGTGTTGTCTGGTGAATAAATCTGTCTTTATTCTTTATACAATGAAGGCTAAGTGTATTCTGCAGCAGGCTGTGTTTGATATTTCTGCCAGATGTATCAGGGACTGGTAGCAGGCCAAACAGAGACAGCTGAAAGCCCTTGCAGGTAGGTTATGAAATACTTTATTTGATCGTGTTTCCTTTGCCACTTTATCTGGCACATGAAGTGTGATGTGATGCTCTATTTTTCTCTTTAATTGCCTTGTATTCATGTTATTTCTGTGTCTGTACTGTGTGGGTAACATGCATAAGCGAATAAGCTCTTATTAGAATTTGTGAAATAGCATGGTTATTATGAGTTACGATTAGTTACGTGTAGGAAAAATAATTATGCCAATTAGTGTATCTGGAGTTAATTATTTCAGACTGGAATGTAACCCTCTACTTTCATATATCATTGTTATTGTTAGTTTGCATGTGTGTATGTGTGTATGTATATGGTGTTGTATCAAAGGTTACAACACTGTCCAGTAGACATGAGACTTATTGACTTTGGCCAAAACAGCATGCAAATGGAGCAGTTGGGCCTAAACAGAGGCCTCTGCGATTCATACATCCTGTTGTAAATATATAATGTTACTGAAATGTGCAGGATTGAGACAAGTTATCAGCCTATCATATGGCTATGCTATGGTACCTGAAATGTAGTGTACTTTTTCAAGCCCTTATTATAATCTTCTCCTGCTCATTTCCTTTTCTTCCTCTCCATCTCCCCCACCTCCCTCTGTCTCCATATCCCACTCTCTCTCTCTTCTTCCTCTGCACCAGCTGCTGCTGCTGCTCCAGAGCCAGAGTGGAGAGTCCCCTCGCCCCCCTACTCAGACAGAGACAAAAGGCCTGATTCGCCTGCTGAACACTGCCCCCTTTCTCCATCCGTCCCTTCATGCACGGCCATAGAGGTGATGGTGGTGGTGGTGGTGGTGGTGGTGGCGGGGGCTTCAGGAGAAAACAAGGCCCGGACTGGGACTAACATCTAGGACTGACCCAGTGAAGGAGAGTGTGAAGAGGGGGAGGGGAGGAGGAGTAGGATGGGGCTGAGTAAAGGCAGGTGCTGAGGCCTCTACAGGAAGACTATTTTTTCCCTGAATATCTCTCAGAGTGGAAACAAATCTGACAAGGGTATGCCACATTTAACTATATATGCATGTAGTGCATGTTTATGTGTGTCTCTGTGGTGGCATATGTTGGCAGGTGTGGCATGCGTTTCAGGGGAAT